CTAGTCATAACTTCACTATTTCAGCCAGCAAAGAACAGCAATATTTCAGTCAGCCATAAACAGCAATATTTCATCCAGCAATGAACAGCAATATTTTAACCAGCAATAAACAGCAATCTTCTATATATATAATTCTCTTCTGGGAGCCGCTAGAAAACAAGCTGCAAACGCGCTCCCTACCACCCCTACCCCTACATGGTCTGGTGAGCTGTGGTTCACTCTTTATGTTTACAAACATTACAAACACAGCCGGGTTTAGTGACGACTATTAGGGGCAGATAATTTAGTTTGAAACGATTTTAAACGTAGGGGGGTAACTAAGTGGAGTTTACTTTAACGGAGGGGGGGGGGGGGGGGTATCGTCCTTAACGAGCTACTTATAGTGTTTTAAAGAAATATTTTCAGTGGCAGCGTTGGTAGTGTCGAATTCACAAATTATGAATAACTGAAAAGTAGAAAAAAACAACTAAATAGCGGCGTATTATATGCCGCGGGTCGGCTCGTGTTTTATAAAGCCATATTTCAGCTTGTCATCACTTGAATACTCCCATCAAGACAACAGGTTAAGCTGGCAAAAACCATTTTACTATACAGCCCTATCTTAAATATCAAGATGCACTGATATCTTCAATCCATTCCTTCGCATAGGCATTCTATTTTAGCTCCCCGTCAAATGTTGAAATTCGCAAAACCCTTCTAAATCTGGCCATTTCCAATCGGATTCGACCCAGGTGAGTCTCCAACAACGGCTTCCGTTTGTATTGTTCTCCTGGCTAACGCTGCGGCCAAATTGGCCTGTCTAGCGCGCCGGCGTCACGATAAATCTAGATGGCGGGAAAAAAAATCCTGGCCACTTCCGGAAGACGGGCTATAACAACACTTTAAAATGACAATGGGTTGTAACCAACAGAAAATGACTTTTTGAATTTTTTTTTTTCAAATTGCTTTTCTAATCACAAAGATCTAAAATTTAAAATAAAAAAAAAACAAAAGAAAAACGATTGATTACAAAAAAAATTCGATGTCTGCTTTTAACTACACTGACGTCGGGATTGTTCTAAAAACAAAATGAAAAAAAAAGTGACAATGACGTCATTAACACCGGGCGCCTAAAACTAAAACGTATGGATCAGAGATTATTTTGGTACCAAGACAGATCACGCGCCGAGCCAGACATCGAGGGGGGGGGGGAATTTCAAGTCCGATTAATGTTAAGCCAGACTTAAGCCAGCGGTTATTTTAACCTAATCATAATCACAATTGGATTTTTTTTTTTTACTGCTCCAACCTGGTAGAAATTTCTAAAGCAACCTTGTAAAATGACCAACGCAATTGGATATTGTGAAACGAAAAGATCAGTCTCTGTCTGGCAAATAATTTAGTCTAAATTTAACTGGTCTATATTAGAAGAAAAAAAACTGCAGGTATCACAATGATATCAGAAGCATCACCTGACATTTGAACATTCTAGAAACTTCCTCAATGATTAAATTAGAACTCTGTCTCCATTACTGAAAGCCAAGCGACACCATTTTTAAACGTTTGTTTGTTTGCGACGGACGCTAAGTCTCACACTGTAGATCGGGAATTAACGTTTTAAACCCTTGATCAGGGGGTGGCTAGGTTGCTTCAGTCGAAGCTAGGGTTAAGAGTCAGATATGACCTAATGACCTAGTGTAACATATAGTTAACACTAAATAGAGTTCAAGCCACGTATCTTCAGATGCAACGTGAACATGACCTAACGCAAGCTATGGCATATACAACATGACCTAACGCAAGCTATGACCTACACAACACACCTTCAGATGCACGTGTATATGACCTAATGCAAGCTATGGCATATACAACATGACCTAACGCAAACTATGGCATATACATGACCTAACGCAAGCTATGGCATATACAACATGACCTAACGCAAACTATGGCATATACAACATGACCTAACGCAAGCTATGGCATATACAGCATGACCTAACGCAAGCTATGGCATATACAACATGACCTAACGCAAGCTATGGCATATACAGCATGACCTAACGCAAGCTATGGCATATACAACATGACCTAACGCAAGCTATGGCATATACAACATGACCTAACGCAAGCTATGGCATATACAACATGACCTAACGAAAGCTATGGCATATACAGCATGACCTAACGCAAGCTATGGCATATACAACATGACCTAACGCAAACTATGGCATATACATGACCTAACGCAAGCTATGGCATATACAGCATGACCTAACGCAAGCTATGGCATATACAACATGACCTAACGCAAGCTATGGCATATACAACATGACCTAACGCAAGCTATGGCATATACAGCATGACCTAACGCAAGCTATGGCATATACAACATGACCTAAGGCAAACTATGGCATATACATGTCCTAACGCAAGCTATGGCATATACAGCATGACCTAACGCAAGCTATGGCATATACAACATGACCTAACGCAAGCTATGGCATATACATGACCTAACGCAAGCTATGGCATATACATGACCTAACGCAAGCTATGGCATATACAACACATCAGATCCAACGTGAACATGACCTAACGCAAGCTATGACCTGCACAACACACCATCAGATGCACCATGACCATAATCAAAGCATCTCACAATCTCCCCAGTAAAGTCCACATTTAAAGACCTCACCCCGGCTCATACATGACCTAACGCAAGCTATGACCTACAAAACACACCATCAGATGCACGTGAACATGACCTACACAAGACACCATCAGATGCACCATGACCATAAACTAAAGCAATCTCCCCATCATTTAAAGCCCTCTCCCCGGCTCATACTCTCCGCACGTACATCTAAGTGCACGTGACGAGTAGGTACACAAGCGTAACTAATCGCAACGAACTCTTTTGACTTTAAGATTCGGCGACAGGGGACACTCACGGGCCAAAATATTAATACGCTCAGGGGAGACGACTGGATGGAATCAACGGGAAATAACCCTGATGTGTATCATATGCTGCTGTCACAGTGCCCTCCCTTGGGTACAATAACCATTCCAAAGAAAATCCCTGTTTGTTTGTTTATACAGATTATGCGAAGATTATGGATATAATACTGTGATTAGGGGACAGACGGGGTGGGAGGGGGGGGGGTGAGTGCGTGATAGAGAATAGAGAGAATATGTAAGGAGTGATAGACGCGTTTTTCACTAGGGTAGTAGGAAGAGAAACAACCTTGCTCGGCGCTGGGATTTATAGACAAGGATTTAGAGTTAAAAAATTGTTACCTCCCCTGCTGTTATAGACTAGGTTTTAAAGAGCGGTTAGTCCCCCTCCTGTTATAGACTAGGTTTTAAAGAGCGGTTAGCTCCCATGCTGTTATGGACTAGGTTTTAAAGAGTGGTTATCTCCCCTGATGTTATAGACTAGGTTTTAAAGAGCGGTTAGCTCCCATGCTGTTATGAACTAGGTTTTAAAGAGCGGTTAGCTCCCCGGCTGTTATGGACTAGGTTTTAAAGAGCGGTTAGCTCCCCTGCTGTTATGGGCTAGGTTTTAAAGAGCGGTTAGCTCCCCTGCTGTTATGGGCTAGGTTTTAAAGAGCGGTTAGCTCCCCTGATGTTATGCCTGGGTTTTAAAAAGCGGTTAGCTCCCCTGCTGTTATAGGCTAGGTTTAAAAGAGCGGTTAGCTCCCCTGCTGTTATAAACTAGGTTTTAAAGAGCGGTTAGCTCCCCTGCTGTTATGGGCTAGGTTTTAAAGAGCGGTTAGCTCCCCTGCTGTTATGGGCTAGGTTTTAAAGAGCGGTTAGCTCCCCTGATGTTATGCCTGGGTTTTAAAAAGCGGTTAGCTCCCCTGCTGTTATAGGCTAGGTTTAAAAGAGCGGTTAGCTCCCCTGCTGTTATAAACTAGGTTTTAAAGAGCGGTTAAACAGCTCCTTTGCTGTTTTTATCTTCCCTACAAAACAAACCCTTTCAGCAGACTCTAACGTTAAAGTGAGTGAGTTTCTTACGCTATGTTAACCAAAAATGTATAACCATAGTGCTTACGTCTCACAGGAACCACAGCTTCATAACCGTAGCGCTTAAAACGTGTGACGGTTTGTCTAAAAATAGATCAGATGCTTATCACTCACGCTAATCAATTTGAATAGCAATTACACACCGTTTTGCTTCGTTAGGATAACTTTTCTCTAACTTAATTATATCAAATAAAGAGTAAATAGCTGATGGAGGGGGTGCTATTGTATAGCTCCATTGGAGTTAATGATCCATAATGGCGTCACATGCCTGCTAGATTGTTCTAGCGCGTCAGGTGCCTGCCAGAAGGTTCTATGGAACAATGGTCACGTGACTAGAACAAATACTTTGTAACCTTAATGGGCATAATGGGGGAAGAAAATAAGGGAAGCAAGCAGGGTCTTGATTGAGTGGCGGGGGGGGTGTGAGCAAGACGTTAGTGCGGTGGGGGGGGGAGAAGAATGTAAATGGATGGAGGGTGTAAATGGAAGGTGTGTATAAATGGGGTATGGCTAAATAGAGAGCTGTTTTAAATGTGGAGTGTGATGCAGATACTGCAACAAAATGTTAACGATGTCACTTGATTATTTTATGGTGGTAATGTTGTGGTAAAGTGGTGGTAAAGTGGTGGTAGAGTTGTAGTAAAGTGGTTGTAATGCGGAAGTACAACTAAATGCAATGCAATGATGTGTTACTTCACCTCTTGTATGTATGAATCAATACTTTTCTTACTGTGTATTGATTACGACTGTGACTTTGGAATAAGGTATGGCTTGTGAGTTATGACTTTGTACTGTGTTGCAACTTTGGACAGTTTTATAAATTTACACACAGTTATGAATTTACATTGTGTTATAACTTTACACAGTGTTTTGAATTGACACTGTGTTATGACACAATAGTGTTATTCCTATACAGTGTTGTTTTACAGTGAAATGACTTCATAGTGTTATGAGTTTACTGTGTGTTGTGAATGTGCTTTGCTTGTACTTACCTGGCCAATGCTGGTGACTTTAGCCGTGAGTTCGGCCACATCCGTGACCAGCCTCTTCTTCTCCTCTGTCACCTGGCCTAGCTCCACCTGCAGCTGTTGGGTCAACCTCCGGCTCTGTGTCAGCTCCCTCGTTAGCACCTGGCACTCGTTGGTCTTGTCTGTCAGCTGCTGCTCCTGCAGGTGATGTAAAGGTGTGTCACAGGTGTCAGGTGATCTGTCACATGTGTCAAGATGATCTGTCACAGGTGTCAGTTGATCTGTCACAAGTGTCAAGGTGATGTGTCACATGTGTCAAGGTGATGTGTCACAGGTGTCAAGGTGATGTGTCACAGGTGTCAAGGTGATGTGTCACAGGTGTCAGGTGATGTGTCACAGGTGTCAAGGTGATGTGTCACAGGTGTCAAGGTGATGTGTCACAGGTGTCAAGGTGATCTATCAAAGGTGTCAGGTAATCAAACGTAAAAATGTTAAAGGTGAGTACACCTGCAGTTTATTACAACCACGTGACTCATTCATTGGATTCGAAACAGACAACCTCCCTATGTGTTTTATACCGTGGGGATGTGAGATGTAATGATCGTAATCAATCATCAGTCATAAACTACAACCCTAACACGATCCTTAAAACGATTTTTCTAAACTTTTTTTTGTCGCACGCTAAAATTCCCTCCATCACTAAACAAGAAGACGATATACCAACTAATTCAAGTCAATGTAAAAACAAAAACAAAAATGTAAAATTGTCTTTTTTTGCCGCAATTCTAGCGCTACAAAACCACTACACAGTTTTATTGATAGGCTATGTTGGTGTTTTTTTAAAATGGGAAGCCTACAAATTTTAAAATGTTTTCTATCCCAAAACGAATGCTATTAATCCTGCAAGAATATCTCTTTGAATTGATCGTTCGGCTGCTCCAATGTTTATCTTATTAATACTAAGCCAATTTCCAGAGTGCGGGATTTCCCGTTTCTTTAAATTTAAAATAGAACAATTTTAGCACTTTGCACGTGATTAATATGCACACACAAAAAAACTATTTTAATCAGCGCAACGAAGATTGCCAAACAGTTAAATGTTGATTAATTTTTTTTAATGCATCATTGATTTACCTGGCGTGTAGCAGGTATGCAGGTATCGAAGAGGAAAAAATCTTACAGGTAAAAAAAAATATTTTATATTCTGAAGATTGAAGTGGTAAAAAAAATTGGAACCGCAATCGGGACAGGTGGAATTTTAAAAAAAAAACAGTTTGCAGAGATGAATTAATATGGAGGGGGGAGGGGTGGAGGGCGTGGGGAGTGAAGGGTGAGCAGGAGGGTTGTTAATGGTGAAGGGGGAAACGTGGAGGGGTCGGGGGGGGGGGGAGGGGGTGAAGAGTTTTATCAGTCTGAAAATCAGGGGTGTTGATTATAAAGTTCCAGTAAAAGTTTGAATACCGTCCCAAGATTTGGACGAAACCTAACACTTGTATATTACCTAACACTAAAATCAAAACCATTATCTACTTGAAAAAAAAATGAATAACCAAAGAACACCTAACATTAAAACTTAATGGAACTATAAAGCAATAATAAATTCTTAACACATGCACAAAACACACGTTTAAAGTTTAATCCAAAAAAAAGGACAATTTTAACATTTTTATTATTGTTCATAAAAAATGCCAAACTAATTTAGAGTTTAAAATTTTAATTAAAAATTCCGTTCTCTTAATTAAGTTATTTATTAACGCGAGCATAGCAGCTTCGGATGAAAAAACGAAGGTAGATAACCAGTACAAAAATTAGCAGAAGTAGTTTTTCATGATTGTCTCCCCTGCATTACTTTTAAATTATTTTTTTTTAACACGTTTTTATTAACTCAGCTTCGCGTGTGTTTGTTGTTAAAATTGACATCGAAAATTAGCCCACTTCTGATTGCTCTATAGATCTGAAATTTGGCATGCAATCATAAAAACTAGCAATTAGAGACCGTAATTAGCTTAATTTAATTACGCCCTAAGGACCATAAAATTGAGGACATGATTTCTTAAGATACAGACAAGACTGAAGGCCTATTGACACAGTTACTTCGGCCCCAATCGATGTGAGCGCGCTGGCCGTGATCGTATAGTGGTTGGTACTTCGCGTTGTGGCCGCGACAACCCAGGTTCGAATCCTGGTCGCTCAAGATTTTTAGTCCATGTATTTATAAACAGTCAAGTCATACTTAATCAAGTCATTGGATAAAGTAGAAAATAAACTTTATAAAAAACTTTTTTTAAAAAACACGTTTTTCATGTGTAGCAACGGACTAAAAAGGAGAAAATAAAATACTTAAAAAAAAACTTTTTAAAAAACCACGTTTTTCTTGTGGACTAAAAAGTAGAAAATAACTATTCACATACATTTGATGACAAAAAACGTGGGTCGGGCAGATGGGTCGGGAAATTTGATGGTGAACGTACCCACGTTTTTTGTCATCAAATGTATGTAAATAGTTATTTTCTACTTTTTAGTCCGCAAGAAAAACGTGGTTTTTTAAAAAGTTTTTGTTTTAAGTATTTTATTTTAGGCGTACTTAAAGAAAAATATTTCGTTAGCGTTTCATTGCTAAACATCACTCTACCAAGCTAAAATAAAATACTTTAAAAAACTTTTTAAAAAACCACGTTTTTCTTGTGGACTAAAACGTGGTTTGTACTTCAACACGTTATACTGCGTTATACTGGGTAAGGTGGTAGAAAATGTTAGAAAATGTACGTGATTTAGAAAGCGTTACATACTATTTCTTTTAAACATGATTTTTAATAAAAGCACTTTCATTGGTTCTAATAATTATCTAAAATGCGATATTCTCTTCTTTTTTTAATTTTCAAACATTTTGATGATACTAAAAAAATATGATAACAAGCTTTTAAATGCACTAAATATACTAAAATAAACACATTTTCGAAAGCTCTATTAGTTATAGAACATTATACGACCAAAGCTTTTATCATTGATATTATTTTAGCTAAATCTAAAATATTTTAAAGTGATCGTTGCCACTTAATCGTGTTATTACCATTTTATTTTTTAATATACTGATCTCTTAATTAAATTTTCATGTCTAATTAATTTCTAGTTAGGCGTGAAGGTTTGAAAAAACAATTTTAAAATGTATCACATTTGACCACGAACCACCATGAGAAAGACTTTGAGATCTAAAAATAAACGTGTAAACAATAAAACAAAGATTTGTAGAAGAAAATTGTTTCTTAGCATGCGTGTGTATATGTAAGGGGGGGGGGGGGGGGGTCTCAGAAATATCGAATAATATAAGGGGTAGTGGACTATGACAGGTGGCGGGGTTGAAATTGTTTGGTGTTTAATATAATGTGCAACCTCCGAAATGGAACAATATCAGATCTTCCCAAGGTAATCTTACTAGCCCTATCACCTCCAATTTACAACTTTACTCCACTAGACCTATCCACTACAACACTTTACTCCATGAGACCTATTGACCTTTTAAATGGCACCTAACTAGTTTAATCCTACTTTAGCAACCCACTATCAACATGACTAGAGTTATCGTGCTTTAACAACTTACTAAACTCTCTGCTTTGTGAAGGGCCTGCTCCAACTTTTCTATTTCATGATGAAGAATTTGATTGGCTGCTTCTAGTTCCTGTTTGTGCTTGTCACTCGACTGTGTGGGCGTGTCCCCTGTGTCAGGTAGCTGAAAGAAACAAAATGTGTTCACCAGCTTATAAACATCAACACAAGTTTTGTTGTCACACAGTGTACACACGATACACTGACATCATACAGCGTTTCTTTCTGACATTTTTCGAATGAGAGGGGGCGGGGGACTTAAAACTTCCGGGGGGTGCGGACTTATATTTCCGGGGCTAGGGTAAGGGACGGAACATCGAAGAGATCCCTAAAAGAAACACTGCTAACATAACACAGCGCATTAATATGAAGATGAAACTGTAAACAGTTTTTAAATTATCCGTAACTTTAATTTTGTAAATAGTTTGGCAACATTAATATTAATAACATTAACATTAAAATAAACAGACAACAAGAAAAACGTGAAATATTTGAAGAGATCTAGAGTAAATTACATGTGTGCAGACAAACATTCAAAAGCGAGTTGGTTAATCAGAAAACTGCGCAAACGGAAAACTGCGCAGCAGAAAACTGCGCAAACAAACAAAAAATGCTCAAAAGCAAATTATACTAAGTGATTTAACGTTATCATATTTCGTTAAAATTTTTATATCAAGCTACAACGTAGGCCTACATGTTGGCATTCTACATAAGAGTCTAAAATGTACGATTTAAGAAGAGAAAAATGCCCTTTTCGTACTTTCCGCTGCGCATCTTTCCAGTCACCAAGCCCAACACGAGCCTCTCGCCCAGACAATGTCACCACAACCACATGAAAGCTGCCCACGAATGGATTAACTGATCGTGTCGTGTCTCTCTCAATGGTCCTTTTATTTTTAGCTCATTGATCTGATTAGGCCTCAGGGCCGTGCATTAATTATTTTAAGCAGCATTATTTTCTGAATTGAGTCAACCTTCAAAACCATTCCACATTCTTTTATCTAGAGTACTGATACAGACATCGAGGCCTGTTAAGTACAGATGGAGTAGATCGCATCTGTTTCTTTGACCTCGGCATATAAAGAAATTGTGCTGTCAGAACTTTACTCGCCAACAAGAGCCGGGTACCAGTTACAGCTGACTTGACTCAGTCGTTAAAGCGTCCACCGTGTTACAATACATTTGTATAATAAATTAATTTATTCTATTTGACCAACACATCACGCCGCTAAGCATCACAGCACGCGCTAGGACACCGTGACTTAAACCCAAGCCGTGTTAGGTTCACATCACACAATAAAAACAAGTTAATCTTTCAAATAACGTTTTTTAAGTCGACTACTTTTCAAGAGTTTTATAGAGAAGACGTGGGCTCGCTGAGACTTTTGACGTAAAGCACATAATCTAAAAATAAAATATCGGGAAACCCCAATCAATATGGAGTAGAAATGTGAGAGTTGTATTATTGAAGCTGTAATGTGAGAGCTGTAATATGAAAGCTGTATTATGGGAACTGTGAGAGCTGCATTACGGGAGCTGTAATATGAGAATCAACACGTCCCTCACTAAGCTAGCGCACTGTTATAAAAGTCAGTCGACCCCCCCCCCCCCCCCCCCCCCCCATTCACGTCGACCGCCATGTTTGAAGCTAGCTGTGATATTCATTGTACAGAATCCGACTGTTGTTCGGCCTCACGTCTCCTTGTAGGCCCGCGGCCCGAGGCTGGCCCTCACTTAAATTAGACGGTAGATCTTGCGCAAGGTACCCTGTAATCTGCCCCGTTAATCCCCTGGTCCCATAAATCCCCTCGCCCTAAATACGATCGATGCGACGCCCTTAGAGTATTGACTAGAGAGACGGGAAAAAACAATACAATGACAGAAAACTTGGCGATAATTCCAAACCCACAATCAATAACATTATTCTTACGGAACATAACTGTCGACAACATCATTTAAAGTCATAGTAAAACAGCAGAATCTGATTCTGTTTTATTATATGAACTCCAGTAAACTGGACAATATAGAAAAATAAATAAGAGCTAATTTTTTTCTCAGGGTACGTTTTGGTAGTGCCAGTACTGCCTTAATATACTTCATACATAACCGTAGACCTTATGGGTTGAACTAGCCCTCAGGTTTTAATTAAAGATCATTATCAAAAAGACCAGTTATAAGGAGCAAGGATAAGGTTTCCGGACTTGAACTTGATAGTCCCAGATTTAAGGCATTTAAGACCCTTGTTGGCTGCTAATCTTGGCGATAAATTGATACCTTCTACATTGAAATAAAGGATGGTACAGCACTATAAAAAAACTGTCCATACATAAACTACAGAATTATAAGACAGATGTCCATACAGAAACTACAGCACTATCAGACAGCTGTCCATAAAAAAAACTACATCACTCTGAGACAGCTGTCAATAAAAACAATGGGACAGTACTATAAAACAGATGCCCATATAAAAACAACGTCTCAGCACCATGAAAGACCATGTATCTATACTATGAGCCTTCAAGCTTTCAACCACTTCAAGACAAATCTCCACCTGATTTTATTTTTCAAACCTCCTTACAAACGTGAAGTTTAGTTTAACTATAGATTTATCGATCGTTATTTTCTAAATACGGTTTTCCCTAATGTACTTTTAAACGCCTGGTTTATTTTTTCAATTTTCTGCCGGCCACAGGAACAAAAAACTGGAGATGACGACAGCATGCGTGACGTAGCAAAAGGTCACGTGGTCTCAACACGGCCAGACAGAGCTACATACATTATGTGCCCGCGGAAAACCCATCGGGTCACTCACAGAAATATCTCAATCAATGGGGGGAGGGGGGTGTTGGGGTGGGGGATAATTCCAGCATTGTGCCGGCTGATTAATATAAATAACAGACGGGAAAACGTAATGACGGTTTCCGGTAAAGCTGGATGACGTTACTTCCTGATTCTGCTCGGCGCCTGCTAGGCTAAACACACGAGAAAGGTTTGATTTTTCTCGGAACTCGCGCGAGAAAATGACATCAATTTTATCTCTATTTTATCCCTGTTTTTAATGGGCAACAATCACATGATGATTTTGTTCTGACCTCGAGATTTCTACGGGGCTGTAGTTGTGAATACTCATCCTTGATTGCGGCCAATGTTCGTACCTCGAGCTTAGTACAGTGCTGAAGTAATGAAGTAAGTTACCAACTCATCCTTGTATTTGGCCAATGTTCGTACCTCGAGGTTTGTACGGGGCTGAAGTAGTAAAGTAAGTCACCCACTCATCCTTGCGGAAAAGCTTTGGAAAAGCTGCATGCGGCATGTAATAGGTGTCTGTAAATCGGCCTGCGAGCAAATCTTTTCAGCAATCGGCTAAGAGGCAATGGAGCAACGTATGGAGCAGTCGGATTTTGGAAAACAAGTTAATAAAAAGTCTAGTGACAATTTAAGCGCAAATTTCCTTAATTAATTTTTTGTGACCGAACGAAAGGATATTTTTGAAAACTTGCTTCGGCAATATTGTTCTAAATTATGGCAGGAATCGATTGGTAAATGTTTCAAGTCGCTAAGTGGTCTGGTTGCCGAGATATGGGCCCAAAAACTGCATTTTTTTCGAGGTTTTTTGGCTTTTCCGGGAAATCCAGGAAGGAATTCCGGGAATTTTTTTGGCCCACTATCATCCTCGGAACTTGCTTAACATATTTGCTTTTGGAATTGGAACTAGTCCTCGATATTGCTTCTTTGAGGAGGAGATACGACTTAAAGCTGCGGACACACATCCATCCAGAAATGACGAGTTAATAATCGCAATTGTCCGTATGGAAATTGCGCTAAAAATGTCTACGTGTTGCGTTCTCGGCCTTTGGTAAATCGGCCTACATGCAATATGTGTTAGCACAATCAGCCTGTGTAAAATAGGCCAACTAGTTAGAAGTGTTCGAGCATTCGGCCATTGGGAAATGGAGCTACTGGCAATAAAATTACAGACAAGTTGTGTCCAGTTAAACTTTGGGTATCCTTTATCACAGAATACTGGGATAAGATTATAAATTCTGTACGGTGTATGTTATAGTCGGCACGTCTTCAACAATCTACACTTCTAAACTTTGAAACATCATTTCTTGAATTTAAGAACCGGACACTGTTCATCAATCTGAGCGACTAACTCACCCTAAAAACTAAACACCATTTCTCCAGCTGACAGCATCCCTCGGCACCAACACAAACCACCAGCGACGCACCAGACTCGTCTTTCCAACGAGCCCGAAATCCCCAAAATTCCCAATGGACGTCCGCAATTAATTCCCCGTATGGTGTGCAAGTACTTGAGCCATTTACCGCCTGTCATGGCGGCAAGACGAAGTGGTTTAAACACGGAAAGGGGGGGGGGGGGTAAACATGATGTTAGGGGAGTGGTTCAAACATATGTGAGGAAGGAGGATGGGGGGGGGGTCAGGATGAATAGGCCCGTCCCACAGGACAATGCTGGAGTCTGGAAGTCTGAGGTGGTCGTACGGAACAATCTGGTTGCAGCCAATATAGCTGGCTGTACATTTGATAGACTGGCTGACAAGCTATATATTAACAGCCCTGTTGTCGCGGCTTAGGTCTTAATAGCAGTGTACGGCTTCGGTGTTTACAGCCGTGTATGGCTTCTGTATTTACAGCCGTGTGTGGCTTCTGTATTTACAGCCGTGTGTGGCTTCAGTGTTTACAGCCGTATGTGGTTTCTGTATTTACAGCCGTGTGTGGCTTCTGTGTTTACAGCCGTGTACGGCTTCAGTCAAAAAAGTGGCCAGTTTAATGTTAATTTTTTTTTTTACATTTTCAACAAAAGCCTACAACCCTATTGGACTAAAAAATTATTTTTTTTTAACAAGGGCAATGACGTCATGTTAAAAAATGTCAGAATTGGTTTGGGGCTACATGTCTGCTGGATTAAACTCCTCTCCTCTCCACCCCCCCCCCCCCCCCCACCCACCACCCTACTCCCATTAAAGCCTTCTTGTTCAGCGTATTCAACAAGTCAGTGGTCTGGGGCTAACATCACATCATTAACTGGCCACACCAGTGGTTCAACGCCTCACACATCAGTCTTTCATGAAGTCGTAGGTTCGGATCCACCCAGCTCTC